TTTTTGTTACAGTACAGTAGTCAATACAGGACACTGAGTTACCGCCAGTGAGGTGGGCTGTTATATAGACTATTTTTTGTTACAGTACAGTAGTCAATACAGGACACTGAGTTACAGCCAGTGAGGTGGGCTGTTATATAGACTATTTTTTGTTACAGTACAGTAGTCAATACAGGACACTGAGTTACCGCCAGTGAGGTGGGCTGTTATATAGACTACTTTTGTTACAGTACAGTAGACAATACAGGACACCTGAGTTACAGCCAGTGAGGTGGGCCGTTATATAGACTATCTTTGTTACAGTGCAGTAGTCAATACAGGACACTGAGTTACAGCCAGTGAGGTGGGCCGTTATATAAACTATTTTTGTTACAGTACAGTGTAATCCTGATCATCCTGGCCCTGGCACAGATCACCGGACTGATCCTGCTGTTTGCTAGTCGTGACACGGTGAGTACTTTACTCACAACTGACCCATGTACACATTATGTGGAACATTCATATACAGTGACGTACCATAACTCTTTCACGTTACGTCATTTTCCCATTGAAATCTATTTTAATTTAATTTTGGGAAATTTATTTTTTTCCTGGCTTTTTTTTTATCAATTTGGTTTAATTTTGCTCAAAGGTAGAAACTTATCTACCGCTTTTCGTGGTAATATTAATATGATTATCCGTTGAAAAGATTTCTGACCACTTAAATTGCAAAATTTAGCATTGTGTCTATATGAAAATGATGTCAAATATAATCTTGATGCTTGGATGAAAAGTTATATCTTGGTAACTGAGCCACGGATTTTAATACAAATATTAGCAGAGGAAACATTGGATAACTTGCTAACAGGATGTCAAATATTATAAACATTGGATGTCAAACAAATTCACGAAAAGTTTTTGAAAAAATGTAAACCAGCAAAGAATCCAATAGGAAAATAAATTACGTGAAATGCTTATGTCACGCCACTGTATCACAAGCGTATGGAGCCTTGATGTGTCATTGTTAATAAGAAAATTCAATCAAGATTATGTTGGTAAAATATTTATGAAATACAATATAAATGAAAATCTAATATAATGTTTTTAAGTATAGTATAATTCCCAAAACAGGATCTGTATGATCCCCTACACCAGACCCCAGCATGTATTTGAAATGAATTTATGTACACACATATATGAATGCTTGTCCTGTAAGTCGAGTCTGTTTATAAGTGTATTTTTTACTGGTGCTGACACCACAGCCTCTTTAAGAATTTAACATTATATTATCCCGGGTACAGAAAAAGAGTTTTGTCCTTTTTTGCCGCCTTATACAACAGAATACCAAGAGCAGTCCTGACACAATTTGCGGAAATCTAACATGTTTCGCTCATTTCTACGATATCACCTCTGGCCGGTCTACGGCTTAGTTGGTTTATGCCCCTCAAGATATGACAGCTCTGTAAACCCGGTCTTTGTTTCGTTGCCATTCTTTGGACCCTTTCCAACAAATCCATATGCATAGTTTTATATGTGTACGATACCATGCCTGCATATTCTGAATGTACTCTAAAAAGGAGTTATATTTAACAGCGAGGAAGAGTGTTCCATGAGCGAAAACATTGAGTTTGCCTGTTAAACCTGGTCTTCCAATGTTAGGGCTTTGTCTATAGACACCCCCATGCTAGGTCATGATGTTCAGTGATATGGCGCTTCATGTAACATGTGTTTGTTCAGTGAGATGGCGCTATATGTTACATGTGTTTGTTCAGTGAGATGGCGCTATATGTTACATGTGTTTGTTCAGTGAGATGGCGCTTTATGTTACATGTGTTTGTTCTGTGAGATGGCGCTTTATGTTACATGTGTTTGTTCTATGAA